TTTGGAAAATAAATTGCTGATAAATGAGAACCCTAAATTAAAATTTGTCCTACCTGTCATTGGTTTATTGAACCAACTCACATCTGAAATAGGAACAAATTATTGACACATCACTGAGCATTTTGAGTGTATTTCGGTCATATTTCATAGTCCATGTAATATTGAGACAAAATTACATTTTACATTAGTTGTTTATATAAGGTAGAGATGCAGGTTCGTCGGCACTTTTCGTGAATTTTTTTTTTTTTTTTTTTTCTTACCCAAACAGTCTTGGCTAGATTTAGTTGAAATTTCGGAGCATTGTCATTGTTGGAACATACTCAAAAATCAATTTTAAAATATAGGGAACCGAGGCACGCTTATGTGATTAAAAGTCCCAAAAGTTTGTTTGCGTTGCTCTTTGATTGACAAGTCACTGTCACTGTCAATGTTATATGCAAATGATTGTTGGCCCCAGTTACGGAGCAGCCGGTGTGCGACTTCCTGTCCTGGCTCTCTGTTTACTTACCTCAAGCGTGATCAACTAGCAAACTACAAAAACAGACAAGACGTAGACGCTTCCAGCATGCAAGCGGAATGAAACAAAACATACACTTGTAACTGATAGGTAAACTTTTTCACCCTTAAATAAATTGATTTTCATTTATTTTCATGTAGGAGGTAGCGTCGATAGGGCGATTTAATTTTCGTGCAAAACAAGGCCACACTTTCTTTTGTTTTCTTAGTGTATAAATTTCAAGCTTTTTCGCATTGTGGGCAAAACTAAAAAAACGTTTCCACTGAAGTAAACATTTTTCATTTCGCTGTAATGATTATCGTGCTGATAGAATTGCGATGCAATTGACAAACAACACAGCTGTTGCTGTCATCGCTAACTTTTCAGTGTTAAAATACACAAACATAAAATACTTGGTTAATTAAAAATAACAAAAATACCCTGGAAATTACCGAAAAATCGGCAATGAGATGCTGTTTTTAAACACCGTAGAAAAATCATGCACTCTGCGATGCCATCTTGGTTACCTTAATCGGAAACCCCCTTGTCAGCTAGCTGCACCGGTAGCGATGTCGCAAACTACGTTGTATGGTCGTGATCGGCGACCTCTGGTACTAAGGAACTCTATGAATGAGGTATTTCCAGAAGTCAGGGTTCGTTTAATTTGCATCGACCTGTCTCGTCTGTAGTTGAATGAAACTTGCATTGATTTACAATAGTTCCCTTTTCAATGTGACTTTATTTCGAATTTGTTTCACCGGCGTTTGGGTGATTGAGTAGTAAAAACTGCGAATAGCCGTTGTGTAGTAAAATATTAGGGCCCATTTCAACCTGGTCATCTAACTTCGCATGGTCCACGGGAACTGCATCATACAAAGTATTTTTTAAAGGTTTGAGGGAAGGTAAATTTAGACTCAACCCACCCAATGGCGATCGCTATGTTTATATAACTGTATGAATATGTCATCGGCTTTACGTAATCCATTGTGTCCCTCCCTCAGTGGAATTGATAACACAACGCTATGACAGTTTTCACGCAAGGTTGAGACTTCGCGGACGATTTTTCATCCGTTTCCCTCGAATTCTAAATATTTTTATTTTATTTTTTTTACCTGACGATTTAACATCGGCAAATTACGGTGTATGGTATATTTCAAGGAGTTTCTGTTACACATATGAAGCGAATGATTCGTTTTAAAACTTTTTTTTACAAAATGGCGATTATCTCAGTTTCATTTTTTACTCAAAATTTCAACTTTAAAACTATTTAACTTCTAGACGGTTCATTTGTTTCAATGAAATTTTTAGGGGTCATTATTCAGGTCTATCCTAAGTAAATGGCTTTGTATGGTTTCACTGTCTTCACTGGAACAGAAACAATAGAGCTGCCAATTAGCGGCTCTGTTAACTGTGAACGATTTATATCAGGGTATGCATTCAAAAGTTAAATAGTTTTAAGTGCACTTTCACCTAAAATGCATGATTTTAACCCAAAATCAACACCACTTAATATGGTATCATAGTACATTATTGTAAACCATAAAACTCAAAAGTTTAAATAAAACTCTTTCAAGTGATATATAACTTGATTGGTAAAAAGTATATTTTACTCATGTAATTACAGGCAATTAAAAATATAGTCTCCCAACCTGCATCTCTACCTTAAAGTACAATAAAGTCATCTGATCTTAGTTATAATAATAGTGATTACAATAATTATATGTACAATAATGTGCTAATAATATAAATATATTTTTATATAATGTAAAATAATTGCATTGCACTTGTCAAATAAGAAATATACACATTTTTGAATAGTGTTTGTTGTGGATTTTGTAACAGTCTAATAAAAGTATTGATTTATAGTACCAAATATATGTATGTGGGGATGTTTATGATGTAGTATGCTGCACCTAGGCAGCTGTATAATGACAATCTGATCAACCAAAAACAATATTTTTCAGCTATTTGCATGATATTTTTATAAATATATGCAATTTTACATGACATACCATTATGTGTTTACTTATTTTGTATTAACAAATTTCAGATGAGTATTCGGTACATAAATCACCACCCTTATGTTTACCTTTGATACTACAAAGATGATTTTGGATCTGTATTGCATGGATTAAAATGGCAGTTTATTCTCCCTTAAATATTTTCAAAAAATCTACTTCAGTATTTGTAAACATGCAATATAGAGTAGACAAATGTGATAGGCAAAAAAGAGCAGTTTTAGAATTACATATAATATCAGACCAAAACATATAATTCGAAATGATAAAAGTAATTATACTTTACACACCTGTGACAATTTCATAAGAGAATTTAAATCCAACACCATTTGTATTATTATTGGCAAAAAATGAAATTGTTACTGCTTGACCTGTTGATTGGAATGGTGTTGGTCTTTTGTCAGCACAGTATTGACCAACTATTGAGTCTTCATCTAACTCTGATGAGTTCCATATCTACAAAGACACATAATGTTTCCATAAAATTATATGATCATGTATAACTTTCTTTGCACGGTTGTTAAACCAGTGATATGGACTGAAATATATCCAGTGTAAACATAGTTCACAAAAATATGGCACTTACAACTTATATACAGTCACTCACACAAAATTTGACATTTTCAATGATGACAATTTGATGTAAAAATAAAGATAAATGTGAGCTACTAGGTAATAAATGTCAATGATGTTAAATCTGTAATTCAACATAATACAGAATAGACATTTTGTCATAAATTAACAAGATTAAACAGACATTCACAGAGACTGATATATTTAAAACCTAAATATGTGATTATAATCACACTTTTGAGACAAGTTTCTTTCTTACTCTTATTGTAAAAGCTAAACAAAAACAAAAACATGCAAGGAATCCTACAGATCCTGATATGTATTCAGTAAAAATATCATCAATTAGACTAATTTGCATAAGGAAATATTCATTGGAAATCTTACAAATATTTTATTCTCATTACATATGCCTGTCAACAATCTTTTTATTTACATGTTTGCAGATTTTTGTACTTTGTGCAGTCATTCTGGAAATGTTTGCTCCTTTTGTTACATTTGTTTTATTTCCATATTGCTCCAGCTCACCCTCTAGTTTTTATGGTGTAATATATTTGCCATAATTTCCTTGCTGGATTGAAAGTGTTAAGATATTGTTGAAAGGGTATTTTAAGGCAGTGAATACAGAAAACTTGTGTGATCTGGTCTGCTGAGCAGTCTGTATTAACAGATGGTGGAAATTATAGATTTTTTTTATAGAATTATATTTACCTTTCCTTTATAAGTAGGTATATAATACCTACAGACAGCAGGAAATTGTTTTGGACTACAGAAAATTCACAACACATGCTGTCCCATGGTGTTAAACTCTTATGCATTTGCCAAAAATAATTCTGTATTTATTTGAACCAAAACATCTCAAACAAGGTACTTTACGGTGAAAAGATATTGTAAATATATGAATGAAATTTCAGTTAGTTAATAGCGTTACAATTAACACCAACAAGACAATCAATATCAACTTACCTTGACGTAGTGTTGGCAAGATTCTGATGTACTTTCCAATTGAAAGTCCTCAAATAAAATTCTAATTCTTGCATCATAATTTGCCTCAATATGATACATACAATGCAGATAAGAAGGATAAGGCTCTGGGAAACTGGGACTTGATATTGATGATTTCTTTTCTGTATAATGGCTGTCAGAGTTTACACTTATTCTTGTCCCACAAGGTGCTGAAATAAAAGCAGACTGGTAAAGTACACAAAAATGTCTTATCATATCGCAAAATTGTTGGATACTATGGCAATAAAATAATACGTAACTATAAGATGGTTACTTATGGTTGTCAAGAATTATTAACAAATTCAGATGGATTATCATGGATTCTAAAAATGTTGATTTTTAAAAAAAATTCAGATATTTAAATACTAACATAAATTTACTTACTTTCACTTTTAACTACTATGAATTCCATCTTGAAGCCAGTCTTACTAATAGTTGTATCTGAATAAAATATTAATTTGATTGTATTTTGCACTGAAATAGAATCATGTGGCAATGTATAACCGCAGTAGTGTCTTCTTAGAGATGGTGAAGGAGTTGTTAATTCTTCACCAACAATAATTAGGTTATCACAACTGAAAACAATCAAAAAGAATCATAATAGTTTAGGAAAAACATGGGAATAAGGCAACTTTATATTTGCACTAAAGTCCAAAATATGTTGGCTAATGGATGGTTTTGCTGAACATTTGTGTATGCTAGACTTTACATTTTTGTTTTAGGGGGCTATTTTATGTATATACTCACTTGCATCCATTATTGCAACGTTCTATATTAAAATCCAGAAAATGTGTTCTTATATAGAATCCTTGTGGAGCAATTAAATTAATTTCACATGATTTGTCATGACTATAATTGTTTGGATAATTTGGTGAAAATATATATCCATGAGAATCTTCTTGTAGATATTTGTTTGTTCTACTCAGCTCACATATATCTGAAATTAAGAATATTAAAATCAAATAACATAAACATATGATCAACTACAACAACAACAACAACAAATTTTACTGGAAACAATATCTAAGACGTTAATAGAATAATATTGATAATAATAATAACAGGTATTTCAGGCACAGTGGCACTGTACAATTACCCTGGCTACCTCTCCATCTGGATCATGCAAAAAACTATCCTGGCTGCCATATACAGGTGTATTTTCTATCAACTTAGAGAACAAATCTTCTAATCAAGGTATGTATACAATAACTTATAATTAACTAATCAATATATACAGATTATCCTACAATTTACCAAGCATTAGCTTGTAATTACTGGTTCTTAGAATGGGCTAAATTTTTATACCTCTTAGTCCATGCTAAAGAGCTGTGTACTAATCAGCATATACAAACTAACTTGCAGCAAGTCTCAGAAGTATTGGGGCAGCAAGTTATCAAAGTTGCTCACTAATTTGCTGAAAACTTGACTAACATCAAAAATTTTGTAAAACCTTACAAACTTATTTAAAATATTGTTTTTTTTAGAGATGACTAGTATTTGATGGTGACAGAATGAAGGGTAATATTAAAATTGTAGGTCATCTTCTTTAGTCAAACCCAAAGTAGTGAACAAGTTCTGAGACTTGCTGTAAAATATACTAATCAATACATTGATTATCTTTAGATCTTTAGTATTTGATGGTGACAGAATGAAGGGTAATATTAAAATTGTAGGTCATCTTCTTTAGTCAAACCCAAAGTAGTGAACAAGTTCTGAGACTTGCTGTAAAATATACTAATCAATACATTGATTATCTTTAGATCTTTTTATCAATGTGTAGATTTAAACTCAAAAATCTATGAATGATTGTACAACTGTATTTAAATTGATTGATCTACTATATATATATATATATATATATACGGTATATTAACTTAAAATCTACTAATCAGATAAACGTAAAATCTACTAATCAATGCATGTATAGATTATCTCAAAATCTAATCAGATCATTCCCACCCTCAGTACATGTAGTTATAATATGAGGTTATTACAAATATGCTGCAAAGTCTGCACAAAGACAGTACAGCAACTGGAGTATTGACAAACGCATAGCAGAGGATGACGTGACTTTGTACTGTCTGAGTGCATACTTGTAATGCCTTTATTATTATACATTTTACCAATCCAATCCATTTTGTGGATGTATAGGAACTGAGTAAAATGGTGAACTTTATTTCCAAAAACATCATCTTTGAAATACTGCATAATTGTTGCATATTTTGAATTAGCATTTGGATACAGATAGTCCATTCAATACGGCAAATTTTAGGGCACACTATAAGTGATGATATGGTGACAGATATATAATAACATATCTGTTATCAGAATCTATAAAGCACTTGGTGTGACTTAGATAACATAACATAGTAATCTGTTCCAGTGTTTGAGAATACACGAGCAAGAGACAAACATACACTATGATATTAGATTGCACATGAAAAAACATATCGTAAACCACATTTCACTGGACATTTTCAAAAGCATCAAGACCCAGGTTGTTTTCTTATTCTATACGAAATAGTACACATCTTGAAATTATGAATTGTTCAGCCTCTACAAACTCAGCACACCTTCAATCAAAATGATTATATCTGGCCATCATTTAAGAGCCTCACATGATTTGACAGATTGTCAAAAATCCATAATCTGTTATCTAGCTAGTGTCTGACACCAAGCAGTCTAAATTATTTTACTTTATTTATTTACTCTGATTTCACTGATAGGTATACTGTATAGGTATATGTCATGCTAATGAAATGCTGTACTATGAATTCAAAAAATACTAATTAATACAACTTATGTTCTCAATTTTTCATGCATGGCTAGCCTGGTTGAAAATTGTCTAATAATCTGCACAAAGATTGGGATAATTAATTTACTGTGTCCAAATGAGCATTTTGGATGTCTTATTTCTCAAAATGCCACAACTGCCAAACAATTTTTCACAAACAATGTATTTTACAAATGTTTCTAGATCACATGGGACACACACATGCTGCAGCACACAGCACATACTTACCCACAGATATCGAAGCAATTTGTGTGGAATAACAGCAAAGTAAGAACAAAAACAGTGAATGTTTCAGTTGAAAAACAACCAAGCCCATCCTAATGCCACTCCCATTCCTGTTTTCTTTTAGGTCTGAAAGATAAACAAAATTTGAGAAGACAATCATTTCTAAGTGTAAGTTCACCAAAAAAATACCTAACTTAATGACAGAATTCTGATAGTAGATAAACATATCTTTTATAGTAAGTCAGACTCAACTTGCATTCAGGAACTTGCATGCTCCTAAAGAAAATACTTCCTTATAAGAATACACTGGCAGCACATGGTAGAATTTAAACCTTAGAGTTTAAAAAGCAATGACTTTAAAATTCCTCCTGATCTGAACAGAAAATACTAACCATACATGGCACGAGAAACAGTAAGCTCAGCATAAAGGAAAACATCTGAACCACCATGTATGCCTGTCCAACTCACACATATATATAGATCATATATAGTATTTTGATAATAGACAAGATATGTATTTTATAAGTAATCTATGAACTTTGTACGAACATAAATTACAGCATATTCATAAGTAACAGACAATGCACCCAGTCACACATTAATAAGAGGTCAGCTACCACACGTCAAGAAGAGCAAATTTCTTTAGACATTATTTATTAAAGGCAATCACCATAATATTTATGACAGTATCATAAGACCTACATGTGTACAGTACCTGGCAGAGACAGGTACTTTAATTGTCACTTGGCATTTGCCAGCTGTTACAGTTACTAAGCTGATATAAAAAAACAGCCATAAATTATGACAACTTGACCTACAAAACCAATAATAAAAATAACAAGCAGCCTCTCGGCTGAGATAGCTCCGCTGTTAGTAATGCACATTTCAATTAAAGAACAGAAGATATCATTAGAAAATGAACAATATGCATAGTATCAATGCAATGGGACTTGCTGTTTTCAACAAGAATCCAAAAATATCATTTGTGACCATAAATGATTGTGGTTTTTAACAAGAAGAAAATATCACTTTTTACCATAAAATGACAAAAATATTCATCAAAATTAGAGAATTGAAGATATCATCATGAAATGAACAAATTTGAGAGTGGTCCATATGTAGTATCTATATATGTAATATCAAAGCAATTAACTTGTTGTTTTTAACAAGAAGTCGAAAATATCACTTTTTACCAAAAATGACAAAAATATTTACCAAAATTAGAGAATTAAAGATATCACTACAAAATGAACAAATCTGAGAGAGGTCCACATGTAGTACAAATGTACCTATATATGTAATATCAAAGCAATTGGACTTGCAGTTTTTAACAAGAAGTTGAAAATATCACTTTATACCAAAAATGACAAAAATATTCACCAAAATTTGAAAATTAAAGATATCATCATGAAATGAACAAATTCGAGAGTGGTCCACATGTAGTACCTATATATGTAATATCAAAGCAAATGGACTTGTGGTTTTTAACAAGAAGTCGAAAATATTACTTTTTACCAAAAATGACAAAAATATTCACCAAAGTTAGAGAATTGAAGATATCATTACAAAATGAACAAATCTGAGAGAGGTCCACATGTAGTACCTATATATGTAATATCGAAGCAATTGGACTTGCAGTTTTTAACAAGAAGTTGAAAATATCACTTTTTACCAAAAATTACAAAAATATTCACCAAAATTAGAGAATTGAAGATATCATTACAAAATGAACAAATCTGATAGAGGTCCACATGTAGTACCTATATATGTAATATCAAAGCAATTGGACTTGCACCAAAATTAGAGAACTGAAGATATGATCATGAAATGAACAAATCTGAGAGAGGTCTACCCAAGGTACATATACAGGAAGTATCAAAGCATTCAGGCTTGTAGTTTTCAAGAAGAAGTCGAAAAAGTAAAACATTGACACGGACGACGTACACCGGACAATCACTCATATGATAAGCTCCGCTTGACAAAGTCGACAGCGGAGCTAAAAATATTCATTACCCTTATTAGAATTGGTGGATTTATATGTCATTAAACATCTTCATAAAGTAGATATCAAATAAACTTTTAATATTTTGGGTTATTTGACTTTTATATTTTTATCTTGGAAATTTTAGTATAAAACATATTTGTTTTTTTACAATATTTTTTAGTAGTTTATAGATGTGTAATATGTGAATTTTTATTAGTATTTTTATTACTATTTTGATTATCCCTTCATACATGTAACTGGCACAAGTTTCCCTTAAGTCTGCTCAAAATTTCTATCTAAATGTGCGTGGACCACGATAAAAAACAGTAATTTGTCTTTAAGGTATATAAATTTGAACAAAATTTCTCCATATACCAGAAAAACAAAACATTCTTTTAACTCCAATTTTTGCCGAAAATATCATATTTTGCCCAAAAAGTACTAATATCAAATTACCGTAGTTCCATGTTCTGCATAATACATCTTTGAAGTTCTGTACACACAGAGGTTTAACAAACAAGAATTAAGCAATATTAAGCAGTATCCACAGTACTTCAATGGATTATTTTAACGATTTATTATCAGCATCAAAACAGCAAAGCATTGACGTCCCAGCAAGTTTTCCTTGGTGCTTTAGCTTTGAAAAATACAGTATATTTCCTAGTTTATATTGTCCCTTGCCAGTCACTACAACTATATGTTAGAAATTAATTTATGTTGTGTATTTGTGTTCATAAGACAAATATCTTGTTATTGATATTTCTCAATTATTATTATATATTTTTATCATTGATACATAGACTGCAATCAAGCTGATACTGTGATGTCACTGCTACATTTATTGTTTCAGCATCTGGCATTTTCTGTAAGATGTTGAGGCATCAATCTCCCCCATCCTTGGCAAGATAATTAAGTTCTTCATGTAGGTTAAAAG